GATGCATGACCTGTAAATTTAAAAACATTTTTACCTAAAATTACTAATATGCCCCCAACAATTCAACTCCCAAATCTCAACCTATTGAAAGTCATCTTGTTTCTCATATTTTATTTGCTACAGTGTTATTGATTTGATCACTCGGTATTTTGTTTTTGTTTTTTCAACATTTATTTTACAATTTATTTTATAGATCTAAAGCTATTGTTGTATGTTATTTGTTAACTATTAATTTTCTATTTTTTTAATTGTTATTTCATTAGAGTTCTTGTATTTATTATTTTGATTTAGGTTGGTTTGTCTTTTATTTCTGGTTTCTTTCAAACTGAATATAACTTATTGGCCGCTTACCCTTTGATTTACTGCTACTTATTACTAACTTTAACTTATATATTTGTTAACTATTAAGTATTCTAGCTTATCTTTCATGGCGAAGGATCATGTGAGAAGGGAAGTTATGGTGATAAGCATAAGAAGAGATTTGAATTCTTGATCATTTTTAATCTCATGTCCACCCATAAACTGCGCTTTATGAGGGAATTGATCTAGTGCATCTTGGTGCACCTCATTAGTCTTGACATTCAATTATGATTAATACAAAGATGAAGATATTTTCTTACGCTTCTCACTATAACTTCCATTGTCACTGGAATCCTACTCTATCTTTTCGTTAGGTTTGTTACAAGTTGGTTTATTGTCAAGTGCCAATATGTTGTTTTATTAAAAGTTGGTTCAGTGGTTTGTTCCTCTAGTAATTTGGTTCATTATGAATCAGTAGCATTTTTTTTATTAATAAGTAATGTGTTTATTTGCTTTCAGCTCAACCGAAATAGTGAAATATATACGTACCAGTATAATATATCGGTTTATAAGTTATACTTATTCGATTAATTAAATCATTTAAGCCAAAAACCAAATAACCCAAAACCGTCTTGTTTCGGATGAGTTATTTGGTTTCAGAATTTTTTTGATCACCCTAAATGTGTTCCTAATCATAAAAATTTATAAACCCGCCATTGTACAAAGACCGAGAAAAATGTAACTACGAAACCCTTTTCCATAATTATTTCATTTTAAAACGTACAATGTGACTTTTTGCAGGGACCAAACATGTAACTTACTCTTTATTCCATGAGGTTGTGTTTTGTACATGAGACGAGACAGGATATGACGGAACAAAACTCATTACCCCATGTTTGGCGCAACATGGAACAGAACAAGAACTCACAGTCCCACGTTTGACGCGACATGATACATGGACAAGAACTGGAACAAGGTGAGACAGTATGAGACAAAAGAGACTTTTTCTAAATCCATCTTAGAGTTGCTTTCTTTTACGTTATTTTCATAAATAAGTTCATGTTCAGAAATATATTTTCGGGTCTATCTTTTAAGTTGAAAGTTTTCGGACCAACATCCTTTTTAATTTTTATAGTATCATGAAAAGATTCTTTTTAAAGACCGGAGAAATAGATGATAACATAAAAAGGTTTTTATATGCTTTTTGGACTTGTACATTTGTATGATGTTTATATGTCACATTGATTTGATATACATAGGAATAGAATTTTTGTGGTGTGCTTGGATTAATTGGACCATACAAACATGTGTTTTCCACCATGATGATGATGATGATGGTATGTTCTTGCCAAAACATATGTATTCACCATAAATATCAAAGACAAATTTTTACTACAGTCAATCACATGTGATACTGTAACTATAAAATTAAAAATAACATAAAAATTATATAAAATAACCATAATTACATTGCTACCCTTATTGATTTATTTTTATTATTTATAACTTAAATTATTGGTTACAAGGTTTGAGGCCCACAACTGTTCTCATATTTTCGCAAAACAGAGGGGTTCTCGTTTATATAGGCCGGAGTTCAAACGAGAAACCCTCTGTTTGCGAAAATGAGAGAACAGTTGTGAGCCTCAAATATTTTTACCAATAATTTTGTCAGAATACTCGTTCAATATAAATTCAAAACCCAACACTCATTCAATATAAACACAAAATTAGGCCACATATCTATGTTTATTCATTAAGTTCAACCACTCTAGGTCTATAGTTTAATGAGTTAACAAGCTCAACAACTCTATGTCTATTGCTCATATAGTCCCCAAGTTCAACCACACTAGGTTTGTCGTTTGTTTAGGCGCCAAGCTCAACCACTTTGTGTTTATTTCTCACATGGATACCAAGCTCAACAACTCCATGTCTATGGCTTATTTAGGTACCAATCTCAAAATAGGGATTATGATACCATTTAAAAAACAACAAACAGACTTCTATGCCTATGGATCCATTGCATTACATTCTAAGTTACATGATTCCAATTAAATGACTAACACACTCAAAACATGTAATTTCAAATAAATATGTCATAACCGCATATCACTTCGAAATCCCAACATAAAGCAAATTAAATTGGACAAATGTCCACAAGGCTAATTTTAGCCAAAACCGAGTCAAATACTCAACAACTCCATCGACTATAAAATAGAAGTCATCAAAAGGAATGAAACATATTTAACCAATGTTTATGCAAAATACATGCTTTAAAAGCACGATTAACTCAAAAACTCATCATTGGTTGAGACAAACCATTTTCCAAATGAAAACATATCCTGTTACCACCAAAATGTCTCTTAACACAATAACATGCATTTTCTAAAATGGTTTATAAAACCAAATACACCAAAATGCATTAATATCAAATAATTTGCATTAGTACCAGAAATCATCAAAGATACACATTCTTGAGATTTATTTATCAAAATATTCAAAAACTCAAATATAAGTATTTCACAAGATTTACTAACCCAAATTTACCAAATATGCAATTTTGTCAAATATTCAATACATTTGATAAATATCAAGTAAAACACATTAATACTTCAAAATACACATTTTGGCATGTACATAGTTTTCACAAAACAACTTGAACTCACCTTGCTAGATTTAGATTAAACCTAGGTTTTACCCCAATCTTGAGCTTCCTTTGGTGGAGACTTTAGATCTACAAAATCCATCACTAGAACCTTCATCTAGGTCATAAACAAACCCAACATACACCAAGCAACCCCAAATTAGATTCATGAACCAAACACTAAATATGGTGCAAAAACCCCAAAAGCTTACCTTTCTGACTTACAGGGACCTTATGTCTTTGAGGAAACTCCAATCCTCATTATTTCCATCTTGAAGAGCTTCAAATTACGAATCATTGAATCACCCCAAATTGGAGTAGAAGTGAAGAAGTTATGGCCAAATGAACAAAATCCCGATTTTATGCACTGCAGGTCACCCGTGATAGTGACAGGCGATTGTGT